AATCGTTTTTTATTAGCACTGCTTGCGCTTGCAGACACCAAGTATCGTAGTTTGATTTGGTCAATGGTTCTATATTACGATAACTCGTTGTAGATGCCATTTTCCATTAAACCACGCTCTGCTACCAATTTGTTAGGGTTTGCTTACATGAAAACAATTTGTAAAATAAACATTGTTATATAATTAACGAATTACTTTCAAGCATTGACAAGATATAATATAGGGCTCAGCTTTCCATTATATGTAATTGAGTTGCAAGCTGAAATTTTTGTCACGCAAAGTATTAACCATTAAAAACACGTACACGAAATCTTTTTAGGCGGAAACGAATAGAACTCGAGAAAAAAATTATTGAAAATTAATATTTTTGTAGGTTATGAGTCAATTTTGACAGCAATTTTGATCAGTGCTGCCATTTTTTTATGCAAAAATAACATGATTCTCGTTGTCTATGGTAAATATAAGTTTATTATGTTGGTACTATTGTCAAAATGTGACAATTTACCGCCATTAATGAGATCTGTCAGTCGGTGATGATCGATGATGGGATCGCACTTAAAGTAGATAATATTCAAATTAAAACAAAAGAACAGATTGCCAATACTTTTAATGAATATTTCGTTAATATACCATTAATCACTACTTCTAATTTGAATTCGACGCCAGCGGGTGACAAGAGTTTGCTAGAGACGTGTGTGCCTCGGTGTAATAACCTGTTTACGTTTAAACATGTTGATTTTATGGATATTATAAAATGCTTTAACTCACTTAAAAAGAAAAATACGTGTAATTTGTTTGGAATGTCTATTAAAATTACTAAAAGTATAATAACAGTTATCGCTCCCTATCTTGCAGATATATTCAATAAGTGTATTGATCAAGGTGATTTTCCAGACCTTATGAAATATAGTAAAGTTATCCCTCTCTTCAAAAACGGCATAAGAGATGATCCCGGTAATTACAGACCTATATCAATATTACCGGTATAAAGTAAAATTTTCGAAAAAAATATTTTAGATCAATTATTATCGCATGTCAGTTTGAACAAACTGTTACATAATAATCAATTTGGCTTTACTAGGGGTAGATCAACAACGGATGCGGGTGTTGCACTTATTAGACATATAATGGAAGCCTGGGAGAAGTCGCAGAATGTTCTTGGGGTATTCTGTGACTTATCCAAGGCGTTTGACTGCGTTGAGCACCAGACGCTGGTGTTAAAATTAAATCACTATGGAATCAAAGGCGCAGCCCAAAACTTGCTACTATCGTATCTCAGTTCCAAAGTTCAAACTGTAGAGGTAAATGGTGTTAAGTCATCTGGATCTTATGTGAAAATGGGCGTTCCCTAGGGATCGATTTTAGGTCCGTTTCTATTTTTATTGTACATAAACGATTTGCCATTTTTTGTGGAAAAATTGTGTGAGATCGTATTGTTTGCTGATGATACTTCTTTATTATTTAAGGTTGACCGATACAAGAATAACTTTGACGATGTAAATAATGCTCTCTCACAAGTATTGCACTGGTTTAATGTAAATAACTTAAAATTAAATGCAAATAAAACCAAATGCATTAAATTCACTTTACCTAATGTTAGAAGCGAAACCTTTAGAATTAAATTAAACAATGAAAACCTAGATTTAGTTGAATCAACGATATTCTTAGGTATAACCATAGACTCGAAATTGCAATGGTATCCTCATATTTCTCTGCTAGCTGGTAAACTTAGTTCAGCAGCCTATGCCATACGTAAAATAAGACAACTTACTGATGTAGCTACTGCTAGAACTGTATACTTTAGTTACTTTCATAGTATTGTATCCTATGGTATTATTCTCTGGGGATCAGCAGCCGATATTGAAACTATATTTATCTTGCAAAAAAGAGCTATAAGGGCTATTTATCAACTTAGTTCTAGAACATCTCTTAGAGAAAAATTTAAAGAAATCGGGATTTTAACTATTGCTTCTCAATTCATTTATAATTGCATACTTTTTGTTCGAAGCAATATTAACTATTATCTAAAACACAGTGACATACATTCTTTTAATATAAGGAATAAAAATAAACTCAAGATACCAAATTACAGGTTACAGAAGGTTCATAAATCATTTATGGGTCAAGGTATACATTTCTATAATAAGATTCCTATTGATATCCTTGATTTGCCTCCTCATAAATTTAAAATACACATTAAGAATTGTTTACTTAAGAAAGGATATTATACTGTCAATCAATATTTGAATGATAAAACGGCCTGGTTGTAATTTTACCTGTAGATAATTTTTCAAAAGTTATATTAAAACTAAGGCTCCCAGCCTTAGAAAGAGTTTTGAAGAGAAGAACCTTGCACTTACTCCCTTTCATATACTTACTTATCTTTACACTTATTGTTAGTAAATTCGTTGATTGTCTATTGTTACATATTTGACATTATGTGATGGAAGTTGACCTCAACACATGTTTGCAAGTTTGATGTCAACTTTCAATTGGACGACACTGATGTCGATTCTGGCATGATTCTCTAAAGCTAAACTTAAATTTGACAACAGTGTATCTTTGTCATTCTCTATACAGAATGAAAAGGACAGACTGATGTTAAATTTAGTTTTAAGTTTAGAGAATCCTGCCAGAATCGACACCACTGTATGAAATAAAACAGGGAGAAAAAAGCAGCCCTTGCTGAGTTTCTTGCCGGTTCTTCTCAGTACAAGGTCTCCCGCCGTAGTTTTGCGAACCGATGGCGTAGCTTTTCGACATTCACAAGTGCTTGTAACAGCCTAGACTGAATAAACGATATTGAATTTTGAATTGAATTTTTTTGAATTAAGTGTTTGTGTTCGTCGCAGTTGAGAGCTTTTTCGTACTCCTGTTGAAATTAACATCGTCTGATTACCATGGCATCCTCAAAGCCTTCGGCCTCGAGTTCTGCTGTCCCATTGCCTGAAGAGTCGAGTGTAGTGCGAGTTTTGGACTCTAATGAGCCACTTGTGTGGTGATACTTCACACTAGGTTAGGTTAGGTTAGTGTTGTGACCTTAACGCGCGAGCCGAGCGAGCGAAGCGAGCGTGCCGCAGCAGCGGCCGGCGAAGCGCCAGAAAGAAAAATTCGTTAATAGAGACTTTTTCTACAAAAAAATCAAATATCACCTCTAGGCCCTGGAAGTACACCGTAAAACCCCTCAAGTTTTTATAATTATCATTTCTGTAAAAAAAACGACCCTTCCCTCTGAGGGGTCTTCCCTAATACCTATCCCCCTGAAATTCCACTACATTTAACAGATTTAATGAATTTTTAGGTTAGGTAAAAAAAAACTGCATTTCCGTCAAAAATCTTTTATGGCGGGGGGGGGGGGAGCCCCCCCTCCCCCTCCCCTACAAATTACCCCGAAATTCAATTACATATAATGGAATTAAGTACCTTGAAGCAATGTTTACTATGTCTAAGATTTGGGCACATTGCAAAGGTCGGGGGGAGCCCCCCCTCCCCCTCCCCTACAAATTACCCCGAAATTCAATTACATATAATGGAATTAAGTACCTTGAAGCAATGTTTACGATGTCTAAGATTTGGGCACATTGCAAAGTTCTGCAAAAACAATGAGGTTTGCTCTATATGCACCGGTAATCATAATTTCAAAAAGTGTGTCAACACAACCCCGTGGTTCTGTCGTAGTTCTACTTATATTGGTAGAAAGTTTTCTTACATCAATCGTCTTCGTTTTGGTCACTGGTGTCGATTCTAGCATGATTCTCTAAACCTAAACTTAAATTGGCACCACTGTCGTCTTAACTTCCATCTTTCACGGCTAAAAATGGTTAGTAGCAACAAATCCAACTTCTGTTCCTCCAACGATGAGCAGACAATAGCATTCAGCGCCTTGTGCTAATGGATGAGCTCACTAGCGTGTATGGTTCGATAGAGTTGGTGCCGCGCAACGGCGCAATGTTTATGCTCTTCTTAGTAATGCTGAAAATCTATCTTCCTTTGTATAAATTTATTATAAACACCGTGCGAGAGATATAAATAATATCTTAATTATTCATATCGGATTGATTCTCCGATTATTTTAAAAGTTTTGATGTTTGTTTTGTAAATAAAAAAAAAGAAAAGAAAAAGGGAGTTCTTTTGTCGTTGAGGTCATAGACGTTTTATCGTAGAGAGAGAATAGGTATATAGGCTATTCTCTGTCTAGGCATTTTGAAGTGAAACTTCTTTATCGGCGTTGGAAAAAAATTTACCGTCACATTTTTGAAGTGAAACTTCTTTATCGGCGTTGGAAAAAAATTTACCGTCACATTTTTCGGTTACGCGTCACATTTTTTGGTTACGCGCCATCTTTTTTTTGGTAATAACAACGACGATGAACATTGAAATGAAATGAAATCTTGTTTGTATTCATGTCTATGATAATAAAATCCTTTTGTTTAAACTTTATCTAATTTAACTTTATTTAACCAATTTCTGGAAAGTTGCATGTAGATCATTTTTCGAAAAATAAGGCCATAAAGAAATTTCACTTCTTACATGTGTACACTAGTACACGCACACATTTTTTTATTTTCTTTTTTTCGTTTTGGTTGTTATGGTTTCTGTATATGTATGGTAATTTTGTAAATAATTATAAACTGTTTATAAAGTATTTCGTATCATCTCTGCTGATTGTTGGTTTTGTTTGTTGGTTTCGGCCATTCTGGTTATTAGGTAGGTTGTATATTATTTGAACTCGATAATAAGGGTTTTCATAAAAATAAGTTTGTGTTTATTTTGTAGTTAGCTGCCTTTTTATTTCTTTGTATATATAATATATAAAGAAGAATATCTGAAATTCATCAAACAATAAAATTATTTTTAAAATGAATTTTCTAATTCTAATAACTAAAAAAAAGATGAGGCTGTATGGGCATTGATCCTTTTGCCTTCCCTGAAAAGGGAGAACTACAAAAAAAAACAAATCTAATCTGTCAAATTTGACATTTCCCTTAACCTGTGTGTCACAGAACAATATAATTTAGATTCAATAGTATCTCTAACTAGTCTGTGGATTCAATTGATTCGATTGATGGATTCGATGAATTTAATATCATGGTACCTTGTTAATATCACATTGGAAAAATCTAAAAATGATGTATAATAGTAAGTACACGATATCTACTTAAACTTTAATGGAACACTAACAGTTAAATCTGTCGTACGGATAGTTGTAGACAGAATCCTTTAGTTTCACTTTCAATGGACAGAATTGGGTAGGAAAAGATTAGAAAATAGAAAACTATTAAAATACAAAGGACCTATCACAGAAGAAATTAATCAAAAATATAAAATGGACCCGAAAGAAGTTGTAGAACATCTGGTGGCGTTAAAAGTAATGAGATTAACGAAACCAGCTTTAATTAGTCCGAAAATAGTTACTTGTGACTCAAAAGATTTACCTGGAAATATTTTAAATAATTATTTGAAGGATGATGCGACATCGGTGACTCAAATGGAGACTTTAGCTGCTGGCCAATTTTTACTGCTACCTCAAAGTTTTGGAAATATCTACTTAGGGGAAACGTTTTCGTGTTATGTCTGTGTTCATAATGAAACAAATCAACCGGTACAAAGTGTTTCTATCAAAGCTGACCTGCAGACTAATTCTCAAAGAATACCACTTACCACACAGCATAGTCAATCACCAACAATGCTTGATGTTGATGAGACACTGAGTGATGTAATACATCATGAAGTTAAAGATCTTGGTACTCACATCTTAGTTTGTGAAGTTACATATATGTCTAAATACAGTACACTGGCTTCATTCAGAAAGTTCTTTAAATTTGAAGTAATGAAACCATTGGATGTGAAAACCAAATTTTACAATGCAGAATCAGATGATGTCTACCTAGAAGCACAAGTGCAAAACGTTACATCTGGGCCAATAACGCTTGAGCAAGTATCATTAGAAAGTTCCCAGCAGTTTACTGTGAAATCCTTAAATGAGATTGGTGATGGGCAGTCTGTTTTTGGAGACGTCACTTTACTTCAGCCCCAGGAAAGTTGCCAATACTTGTACTGTTTGACACCTAAAGAAAACATAGTTAAAGAAATTAAGTTGCTTACAGCAGCTAAGAATGTGGGTAAATTTGACATAGTGTGGAGATCTAATTTGGGGGAAAAAGGAAGACTTCAAACAAGTCAGTTACAAAGGATGACTACTGATTATGGAGATGTTAGACTAACTTATGAAATGTTACCCAGTAAAGTTACTGTGGATGAACCATTTAATTTTAAATGTAAAATTGTAAATGCCAGTGAGAGAACTCTTAATCTTATAATGAAATTGAGGTCTCTTCAAGATTCTAGCCTACTGTGGTGTGGAATATCCAATAGAAAACTAGGACCATTAGAGCCTGGAAAATTCACATATGTCAATCTTACTGCTTTACCGATCAATACAGGACTTCACAGCATTTCTGGTCTTTCATTAGTTGATTTATTTTTAAAGAGGACTTATGATTATGACTCTTTGGCTTCCATTTATGTGTGTTAAATAGGCTGCTTTTTTCTGAAAAATGTTATTGCACTGTTTTTAATATAATTAGTAAATTTTCTAATATAATTAGAATTCAGTCCTTATTATTTAAAATTATTTCATATTACATATATTGAATTCTGTTTATACAAACACTATTTATTAGACCGATGGTTCTTCAAATATGTATCAGCGTAGCCTCAATATAATGTCAAATATTTAATGTACATAAATATAAATAAAATTATTTTATTATTAAATAAACATATTGTTTAAATCAAACCTTACTCATTCTTTTATGTTCTAGCAATTTTCAATAAAAGAATCTGCCCATAACCAGATAAGGGATTCCCATCATACATACCCGTCGTTTACTAGTTAGTATCTTTCTTCTTTAGTATCTTTAAAAATGTAATACCACCAATTCAAGAGACTTTGTCTGCATTGACTTTATTGAAAATCCATTGTTTTAATCCAGGTCATAAACTATATGCATACCAAATATCATCCAAATCCATTTAGTAGTTTTTGCGCGATTAAGAAACTTACATTTATAATATTAATAGAATTAGGGTTACGGTAATTGATAACTTGGCCAATACGGTTTTGATAGTGCCCATTTATCATTCTGTTGTGTATTTCAGTAAAAAAACGAAATCAAAAATTCTGATTTCGGATACGCCGAAGTAACTTTCTCTCTTTGTCTATTATTAGATTAGATTTCTTCAGTAATGACTCCCTCGGGATCTGGGAACTTGGCCAAAGCGTGTTTACATATGTGTGACGTAACAAGACTGTCATGCTTAGATTAAAACAAAAAGGGTAGATACGGCACTAGCCTCACAAAAGTGATCCGCATGAATTGTGGTCCACGACCCTAATCGCTTTAGTCACAACTTGACATGCAAACGACGTACATGTGAACGCCAAAAAGAAATATTGCTAATATTTTGTGTTTATATGATAAAACAATGCCTAAGCATGGACGTATAAAAAAAGGCGGACAGAGTCCCGGCAAATCCATCCGATGATCGGAAAACATAGTAAGATGTCACTCCGAAACAAGCGTACACTGTTCAAAGTTTGCATACGCCCGGTACTCACATACTCCTCACCCGTGTTCGCACATGCGGACGAAGCGATTTTGAACAAACTTCAAGTTGTTCAAAATCGCTTCTGCCGCTCAGCCACAGGGGCCCGTGGTACGTCCGTAACGCGGACCTCCACAGGGACCTTCAACTCGACACTATACAAACTCACCTCACAGAGTGCTCGGAACGGTTTATCAAAGCTGCAGAAGAGCAATCAAACCCACACTAATTAGGTCGGCGTCGGCATACGCCCCCCACCCCCCGTCCCGATATAGGCCCCGAAGGCCCAAACACGCACTCGCAGTCACACACAATAAAATTACACGCGACCTCGCGGCCCTTCTGGCCGCCGAGCAGACAACACGCGCTATAGAGCCCCCCCGCCCCCCCGACACTGAGAGGCCCGCTGCCGCTCAGTCCCCCTCCGTTTCGAGTGCACGTCTGAGTGCACCCGTCCATTAGCGCATTATGCGTTATTTTAAACTATGTAATAGTTTAAACTAGCGCAACGCTGCATTATCCCCCTCTCAGGGGATAATCGCTTCAGATGAAGCTTGTAAGGCCCTTCAGGCCATAAGCATGAACTACGGGTGTGTTTTAGTCAGTAAGAGTCTGACATAACCTTGCAGCCGGCTGTAAGGCCGTATACAGAAAGAAAGCCGATCGGCGCCGATCGGCGCTTATCGGCGCCTATTGGCGCTGATCCTTTTTCTATGGACCGGCGCCGATAAGCGCCGACACGCGCTGGTCCGAATAATAAATAATTTGTATTTGAATTATTATCCTTAGATTAAATCAATGTAAGTTATAATCTTTTTATAAATCTAATAACTTTATCTTTTATTAACTAAGCGCTAAAATTATTTGTTTCGTACTTACCGAATGGTGACAACATGGAGCGCCCCCACTAGAGTCCGCATCACACAAATTTTGTTTGGAATCAAAATCGCCAAAGTCGGTGGGGTGCAGGGAGGTCAGCCCCGCTGTGATTGGACGCGTCAAGGTCAGATCATATACTCAGTGCAGCGAAGTGATGAGGGTAAGATCGATTTTAGAAAATATCGATATTTTCTATCGATAAACAATTTAGAATAGAGGCCTAGTACTTTGGTGCGCGAGTGTAAGCAAATGCGTAATCATACCCTCTCCACTTTCTTCCAGCGTTCTAATTACATGACGCGACTAGTAACTACATACTAAATTATTTATAAGCAACACAAAAAAAAACACGTCCAGGACAAGAAGTATTAATGCAACGATATTAACTACCCTAGATACAACAACACGAACAAAATCGTGGCCGAAACGTGTCCAAAAGGTACATTGGACGATCCACGGAGGTCCGTAAGATGAGTGCGTGGTCAAAAACAATATAATGCCTTATTTAAACATTGAAAGTCACCTTTAATGCATACGGCATAAGGTCTTAATTAAAATGCATGCGTCAAGTTCGTAAAATTTTACGATTTATTGTTATGTGTGAAAGAATATAGACCTTATTTTTTTTGACTTATCGCGCGCAATTCTGAATGCGCTGTTAGCAATATAGCAGGTACAGATCGCGAAGAAAAGAGATGGCTAAGGGCGACGTATAACCGACCATGCATTTGAATATCACAAATATTTTATATTAAATCAGTTTATAATATTACAACAATAAAATTAGCTTTAAAGGCGTTAATTAAAAAACATTAATTAGCTACCCGTCGCAAAAACGACACTTTACGTACTATTAGTATTTTTCTGTATTTTTTCACGGAACTCTTTGGCATCTTGACTTTTCAACGGTCCGCGATTGAGTGGAGTTCAAGTACTTCTTGATGGGGATACATTTTGAGCGCTCGTGGTGTTTCTAGGGTATTTAATATCGTTAATTCTATGTCTTTATCTAGGTCATAAACTATGCGCACTTAATTTCATACAAATCCGTTTAACCGTTTTAGCGTGAAAGAGTAACAAATATGCATACAAATTTTCGCGTTTTTTCAATTTTATTAGGATATGTTTGAAGTCAAATAAAAACTGTTGGTTGTATACTCATGACATCTATTATTGTATACGATGAAATAAATAGTTTTTATTTATTTTTTCAATTTCCATAGCTGACAAACTTATCGATAAACTTACGCGTTGAGACATGAGCTGCGTCTGAGTCACTAACAATACACGTGCCGGTGTGAGAGCGAGATAGCATATATGATGTAGCCCATGCGAGAAAGGGATAGTGTAAAATGACATCAACGCGTTCACCAAAAAATAAATACAATTAAGACCAATTTAATATAACAGTATTTTTGTCTTTTTGTAATGTATTTAAACTAACCAGTGAAAAGTAATACCATTTTTTTGTAAGACTGGAAGTTGTACTCGACTTTCCACACAATTTAATTGCACAGTACGGCATTTTTTACAGTTTTTTAACACGAAAACGAGAGAAGCAGTTCGACCAACGCTCGGTTACCGAATGAAACGATGTATCGCGACGTCTGTAGGCGTGCCTCACGCATAGCTAAAATACTACTTAAGCTTGGCGTAAGCGCTAGCCCTTGTATGCGGACTCTAGTGGGGGTGCTCCGTGGGTGACAACAAGTCTTTCCTCTGGAAGGATTGGTTGTTTATGCCAATTGCACCAATTTTTCATCAAACGGTTTTTCACTAAATCCAAAATGTAATAAAATGTTTCTTGAATCATTCTTGTATATGTATAAAATCTTTGTTCATCAAATTTAAATTTTTTTACAAATAAATGATGGTATTCTCCGAAACGTTTCCTTTCTCTATTTATAGGATGTATAGCTGTTTTTCGCATTTTTAAATAAACATTTTCTAACAAAACCAAATCATCGTCCGATGAGTCCGACATTTTGCTTGATCTGCTTTAATCGGCTTCCTTTATGTAGGAAGGATCGGCGCTCATCGGCGGCGGCTTTCGGCTTTCTTTCTGTATACGGCCTAAGGTATCCATGAGGATTTCACAACCGCTCCCCCGCCTGGGAGGAATCAAAAAAAAAAAAAAAAGTACCGGCAAACAACAAACTGTGTCGCTCAGAGTCGGCCAGGTCGCTATATGTACAAGCCGGCACACACACATTCACACCATAGTCAGCCATTACGCGTGCAAACGTCAAAGCAACCGATACGTTAAGTGGAGATAAAAATAAGTTAAAACAAGATGTCTTGCGTGGTAAAATGGTGTGCAAAACCGTAGTGACCGAAAGAAAAAAAAACCAAGAATCACGTTTCATAGGTAAATGAACAATATAATCACTTTTTTCTAGTTTTTAGAAATCGAAATCAATTTTCATTCTAAGCACAAAATAATTAATCTAAAGTCCAGTGTTGTCAATGTTCACGTAACCATATTACCTAAAATATGGGAAATTGGGGTGACATTAGCTTCAATCTATTATTTGTTATTCTTTTTTATTAGATTCCCTAAAGAAAATGTAGAATGGAGAAATAACTGGATCCAAGTTATTAGGAATTGTAACGGAGATGATGAATGGATTCCAAATAAATATGTGTGTCATTTGCAGTATCCATTTTGAAGCTGGAGACTTATATACTACTAAAAGAGGACTCCGGCGTGTTGTTACGCATGCAGTACCTCAAAAGGTAAATTAAAAATTTTAACCGACTTCAAAAAGAAAGAGGTTCTATACGTCATATTTGTTATTTTTTTTTTCAATTGTTGTTCGTGCATATCTCCGAGATTCGTGGACCGATTTTGATGATTATTTTTTTGTTTGAATCAGTTTATTAGCGAGATGGCTGTATTAATTAAGTGGAGAGCTGATGAGTATTTTCGGAAGGAAACAATGGAACTCCTCAATTACAAACAGTACTCAATGCATGTTTTGTTAATTTAAGAAATATAAAAAAGAATGCAGGCCTGGCCAGGCATATTTAGGTGATTTACTCTGGCTTATGAAAAGT